CTTCTCCTTTTCCTTCAGCGACGCAGCAACAAGCGGACGCCGCCGGGCCACAGCACGGCCGGCGCAGGCCGGCGCGGCATTGCAGCAGGAGAAAACGAGCACAAAAGGAAGGAGTTGGTGAGTGGGCGGAAGAGAAGGTGGGCAAACGGCAGCAGCCTACAGACCCCACGGTACCCGCAGACTCCGCGCCACCGAGTTCACTACGTCCGGCCCGCCACCTCCCATTGGCTGTCCAGCTCCACGACGTGCAGTTGGCACAGACCCGCCCCCTCGGGCTGGGGCTGATTCGAGCGGTAGGGGTGTCCCCAGCTCCCCGGCCTCCTCGTGCCTTTCCTCCTGCCCGCGGGGCTCTGCGCAAACGAACCTTCTTCCTTCATTCCGCCTGTCGCCGGCACTGTTGTCACGTCAATCGGCCGCGAGCGGCCAATCGCGAAGGCGCCCGCGAGCAGCCCCCAGCGCTCCCCGCGGCAGTGATTGGCTGCGCCGGCACACATGCGGCGATAGCGCCCGCAGCGTTATGCCCTGCAGCGGCAGGGCGGGTAGTATCGGAGACGGAGTGGTGCTGGAGTCTCCGCCGGTGAAACCTCCTGTAGACGGACCGATCCCGGCAGAAGCCATATCCGCATAATTTTCATAGCAGCCAAAGGGTCCGCACCGCCCGCTTGTCCCCGGACAGGGCTTCAAGCATATCTGCTGCAGAACCGGGAAAAATAACGAAATTAAACGGACGTGTCAATGCGAGAAACATTACTGGATTTTAAACTAGCCGTGGTTTATTTTCCAGAAGGCAGGTGTGATGCCTGACCCGCTCCCCTCCGTGGGCAGCATATCCACCTCCCGAAGACAGCACCATGTACGGCTCCTCCCGGGCCGCCCTGGACGCCACGGCGGGCACCGTGGTCTGTGCCCACACACGGGGAGGGCAGAAGTCCAAGCAGTACGCCCCTCATTCCACACCGGTTATTTACATCATGTGTGATTCTAGTGTTCTTGCGAGGCTTACTCTCCTCAAGGCTGCACCGTGTTCTCCCACTGGAAGGTACGGGATTCTTTGCAGATTAGGGCATATCAAATACATGACAACATGGACATGGTCAGTGACCCTGCTGTGGGGTCAAGAACAGAGTCCTCACAGAGTTGGCTTTGCATCCATGTTGTGGAGAGTGCTGCTGTGGGCATGCCAGCCAGTGCAAGGCAGATTTGTGGCCTGCCTGCCAGAGCTGGAGGTAATATGTTTCTTGACCATTTCTCTAGAGAAATTTGCACTACCTCCCTGCCCAATGACATTAATTTCATCAGGCAAAAACTGCAAAAACTTTAAACTTTTTGTTTCTTGCTTCTTTTCAGCTGAGCAAAGGTGGTCTCACATGCGTTCATACTTACTATCTCTGCACACACCCTGGATTTGCACCCCGATGCTGAGTCTGGGACCTACCAGTTCAACACAGGCCCAGAGGGCCACACCATGCTGCACACCTTTGGGAGATAACCTGCGGAAAGTGCATGCTACCAGCACTAACCCTACCAGTCCTGTATTTTCAGCAGCACCTAGTGGGGCCCACCATCTCACCTGCCTTGATTTCAACAAATGAACACATTTTAGGCAAAAAGCAGGGAAAACACCAGAGTGCCTGCCACTCATCCCTCTCTCTCCAGCACAGGCACAAAGGGAGGATGTGTGCTTTTAATGGTAGTGTGATCTTTCTGCCACCTATAGAAGACTAATAGGAGGAGGGGAGAAAGTGGGAGGCACGATCAGCCCCTCTGGGTGTGCTGGGATGATCCTTCACCTGCCACTCCACTCCCTTCCCAGCCGGGTGTTGACCCACTGTGCCCATGCCAGCTCGATCTCAACCCCTGGTCTCTCACCACCAACACCTGGCATGAACCTTGCCCCACGGGAACAGTCCCAAGCAGCCTCCTGGCCCTGCCACGGCTCAGTGCACATCTTCCCCACACCTCCCAGCTCTCAGCCACCAGTAGCTCCATACTCACCCGATTGCTGGGAGCCCACTTGACAAGCTGCACACACAGTACAGTCCCCCAGTTTGGGTTTCCCCCTTGTGAGGCTGCCCACTATCTCTTTGCACTTGCTAGGGTGTTTCTCGTTATGTAGGGCACCCAGTGCAGGGACTGTCCTCCCCTGCAGAAAGAAGAGTGACAAATCAATATACAACATCTGTCTGGAAATCTGATCTCACAAATGCAGGGGCAGAATGTAGTAGATGGGCAGAAGGGTGAACAGAGAGGGGGAAAAAACTTCCAAACTTGGCCTTGTGGCTGGGAGAGTCTTGGTCGTGTTGTTAGAAAAGCTGTGGATCCAACCTGATGTTCTTCCTCTGGCTCATTATATTTTCACCCCTGAATTTGCTACACAGTATTTTGGGGGAGTTGATGTGCCTCTGATGTTTTGGGAGGCTAGGGGCTGTGTTGTGCACTGAATAGGTAATCTTAAAATGACCAGACCTTTGCCTCCAGGCAGCCCCTGGGATCTGACTGGTGCATGTTTCACCAGTTTCTCTGTTCCTCAGTCCAGTGGTAGATTGATACAAAGAAATGATTAGTTGTTTTGAGACTTATTTACTTACTGACTTACAAAAAACAGCTTAGCAGCTTATTTACTTACTTATAGCAAGTTATAGTATTATTTATAGTATTTTTTAATATCGCTAAGAATCTCACTTGCCCAGGCTGCTCTGTGGAGTTTTACCAAGGACTACTGTATTCATAAAACAAAGCAGTTCACTGTGAAAATCTACCAAGAACTATAATGTTCAGCAAAATATTATGGTTTTGTCCTTGAGGAGCAGATGTGCTCTAACTAGTTGGAGTCTTGATAATGAGTAAAGATAGTCATATACGGATGGGAGAAGTTCTATTGGTTCTCTTAGATAAGATAGGATGAGTAAACCATCTGAAAAACACTCTTGTTATTCAAGAAATTGGTCAAGGGAATCTGCACATACTCCGGGGAAAAACCGTGAGAAAGATTACGAGCCTTCCTCCCAAAGACCCCCGAAGACGACCACCAGGAGGCAATGCGCAGGTGTAAAAATAACATAAACTGCTGACACCAGCCTCTAGAACTAACCCAGCCTTACTCATGCATATGTAGTCTATGTTATGTAATCCAATGAATATGGATATCCACACTATGTAATTTTTTGATAAAATGTGCTGTGTGTGTGCAAGCTTTGTGGAGAAATTCCCTTGCACCCTGGTGCCAGAGTAAACATACCTGCTTTATAACTCTGTTTGAGTTGTAGAGTCTTTTTTTTCCGTGAATCAAGATGGAACTGAAGAAAGGCTGTTGGAAGTTTCTTAAGGGCTTCAAGGTGCTTTGGATGAGGCTTTACCCCAGAAGGGAGGGAGACCTCAGCCTGTTCACAAGTCTGCACCCACAGCCTGCTGTGCTCTATCAGTCACAGATCATTGTGTGGGGCAAAGGGAGCTCAGAGCTCCTGAAACTTCCTTTCCCTTTCTGACAGTGGGAGCAGGCTTTTGATAAGAACATTTCAAACAGCCTCCATTTGTAGCCCACAGAAACATGAGATTTTAATTTACACAATTGCTTTGGAGCTTAAAAATTCATTGTTGCAATCAAGAAAGTTGCAGCTTTGATTAAAAATCCTAAAGGCAAGACTCGTGCTGTTTCCTACCTTCCTTATATAAGCACAAAGGAGATGTATAAGATCAATGAGTAAGATAATGATGGGTGACAGTTCAAAGTAATCCCAGAAAACGGGCCTTAGATGTTCTTTTCTAATGCAATACCAGCTCTTTACCATTCTTTCTTCATTGAGAAATGCCAACACAGTAAGTGTAATTTAGCAAGGCCTTCTCTTTCCAAAAACATTAGTCAATGTGTCTTTGAAGTCAGCTTGTCCAATCTTAAAGAAGTGAAGTAATTAAATAAACACTTTGAATAGGGTCTGAAACAGACCTTTCCTCTGTTATCAAGGCAAGATTACTGGTAAGGGAAATGTCTCCACCTCTCTGACTTTTGTCAGATTGCTAAACTGTTTGACACCAAGAAACATTATTATTTCCAAAGCTATTTTTTCAAATACTGAATAAATGGAGACGAGGTGAGGAAAACAAGTAATAGACAGCCCTTTTCTTTCATTATCTTTCAGATATGAGCTGTCTTGTACCATTTATCTAGTAATCTGGTATCTCTGTACGTTTACCGTGATACTCATTATTAGAAGGTTGAAAAGTTCCTCTGATCATCACTCTGGTTTTCATAGAAGTGATGTTTCACAACTGTATCATAGATAGTTAAAGGGCTTTGCAAGCAGGAATTGATGTTTGGAGTATCCCTTGAGACCTGGCCTGTACACATTTTATGTGTACAGAAGCACTGTCATGACAACACTGTCCTAACATAGAGAAGATGATCGTTTTCCTCTTTCTTAAAAAGCATAAATGAAAAAGAATGCAAAAGACAGAGGCCAAATACTAGGCAGAGAGAAAAAATAACTGTTAAAGTTCTGTTAAGTCTGTCAAAAAGTTAAAACTTTTATGATGAAACTTTATATTTTAATGTAAAAAGGTTATACACTATCTTACAAAAAATCATATTCAACATCCCAACTAGCTGCTTCTTTGACACTCATTTCTTTGCTGTGACAGAAACCCTACATACAGAAAACCCAGGTCCATCTGTCACCAAAATGGGATAAAAAAACTTATAGGCACCAATTTGATGTAGATAAGCAGGCACTTCATTAACATCTGGGTGCGCAGGGGAGTCATCTCACCAACAACGCACACCTAACTCATGTAACATGCTGATGTTACTCATGTAATATATTGTATACAGTAATACATAGTAATCAAGTTCTCATACATAAGCATGTTAATCCCTGTAACTCATTTTCATATTCCCACCTCTTTCCGGTCATGCACACTTGAGTCCTGAAATGAGTTGAGGGACTGCTTTTGCGACCATCACTACCTACTGACCTAAAAGAAAGACACTCCAATGCCCTTGACTCAAGGACTTTGGCTCACATTGTGATTTTAACATGCTTCAAGGTCCTTTTGACGTGCGGAATCACACTCCACAATCTGATGGATTGTAAAGTAGGTATGTTTATTCAGCGCTGGGCACACAGGGGATAGCTCCTCCTATTGTGTGCACCCGTTATAGCATTGCTACCTTGCTTTTATAGAGTAAATGATTACATATTCATAATATTTTGCAATATGCCTATACATATGCATTACCTATCCCCGCTTCGTATTTAAATTAGCATTTCCATGGTCTCCTCCCAGCTGAGTCTGCGCAGTGTCTTCTGGTGGCGGTCGTGGGGGTCTTTGGGGATGAAGTTACGCTCCTCTTCCTCCTGTCCGATTGTAACCCCAGCATTTCACGCAAGCTCAGTTGTTCGTTGGCCATTATCTAAACCGCAGACCTAGCTCTAACTGGTTTTGTGTTATCTATGTATTTCCGCACGTCCTGTTATACATACCATCTGCAAGGCAAGGA